CATTACCTTAGAATGAACCTTTTCATCTACAGAGGGAGCGGCCATGTTTACACAGTAGCCCAGGACACTCTACATAGGGCCTTTTGCAATGTTCTTGAGTTTTGCAGCCACATGTTTAGAAGGTCGAGCTGTATTCAAATGGTTGTAATCTGCAACTTCACTGCTGGATGCCTCTAAATCCTACACACTGATCCTTTAAGTAAAAGTACCAATACAACAATAGAAGAATACTTCATTACAAGTTAAAGTTCTGCAACTCAGAAGGGAATAATCAGTGGCTGTTTTATTGTATTGGATAATTTCACCTCTTTGGACCTTGGAGAAGTTTAGAGGAGAAACTCTTTAATGTAAAATCTTTAGGTAATTTGTAACTATAGCTGTCAAGTTGTGAAATAAGTACAACAGTAAGTACAGTTTCCCTCAGAAGCAAATGGAGTAAAAGTAGTACCTCAAAATTGTGCTTAAGTACAGTCCCTGAGTAAATGTACTTAGTTACTTTACACCACTGTCAATAGTAAAAGGTAAACGAGTACTCTTTGAGATGACAAACATTTACAAACTTATTTTTTGTAAACATGCAATAAAAATGGCATTTTCCTGAAAGAGTTTAGATAAATGGTCATGTCAAGAGGACTAACAATTTCCACTTGATAAAGGGACAGAAAGCTGGATTGTCATCAAGGCTGAAATTAGTGCTCAAGTTCAAATGCAACAGCGAGTACACTGCAGAGCAAAATAAGGGAAAGTCCCATCCGTCTTTGCAGGGACCTAAGGCTTTAAATTGTTGTAGGTGTTTGATGCTATGTGGCCTCTAAGGGGGTTGACTGACATCACAATTGGCAACAACAGCAATGTTTTCCACAATACATGCATCACAGGAGACCTTTATCACTTGTCGAAATGTGAACAGAAAAGTCACACAAGGAAAAGAAAATGGCAGATGCACAAAAACAGCTTGAGCGGTGCTGAGCAGGTGTAATTGTCTTCAAAGGTCACCTGCAGATCACGCACTGTTTGTTATGTGGAACAAAGTTGAGGCTCTCTACAGTGTGACCATGACACTCAAAAATCCCTATTTGATTCGTGCGTCATAATTGCGAACATGATACTTGCATTCCCAGAGGGGACCGGGATCAAAGGTCAGAGGTCACTGGTGTCTAGGGTGCGGCTGCAGAGGCAGACGGTGCAGCCCATCACTCCAGACACAGTCAGGATAACCAACAGGATGGCCCACCAATGAGCCTGCAGAGGATAAATAAAAATATTGCATAAATGTTACATTTGAATATGATCTCTAATAAGTTAAATGCAATAGGATGTAAGATTGGATTGGTTTTGTCCTGCTAATCAAAGATATCTTTTGTAGTGAACTTAAACTTAAAATGAGCTTTTTTTTCAAAGTTTGATTTAGGTTCATTTTAACCCCCAGTGGCAGTTTAAATAGACTCATGTCATGTATTTGGTGTCATATTCTTGGTTGAACTTAAGAACTGTGTTTTGTTTTTGGTGTACAAAAACAGGTCATGACTCTGCAGCTCTGCACATTAGAAAATGAGTCAGCGGTGTAGGTTTGGTAAAAAAACACAATAGTTCCTAAAGTGAGGGGTCATTTCTGTCTCCAGTGAAACAGATGGACGATCCTAAGAGGTGCTCTTCAACCCAAATGGGCATTCCAGATTCTCCATGCTGTCATGAGAAACTAAAAGTCAAAAGCGGCTAAGACTGAAACCTTGCAGACAGCTAAACTTCACTGCAGGAAGTTTAAACACCATAAGCTGAGGATAAGGCCTCAGTGGAACATCTGCTGCTTCTTAACAATCTTCATGTTCTGTCTAAACACACAGAAGAAGTTATTTTTTCTTTGAAAACTTTAGGTTTGATATTGGTTTTACTTTTGATTAAAAGAAATGTTTGGCTAAAACCTCCTTTCACGCTGTTTTCACATTGTCATTTGATACATTGTTATAAAAATATTGACTACAGCCACTTTAACTGAGTCTAAACTGATTTTTCTTTTAGTTTCATTTCATGTTATAACATATATGCTAGTTGTTCTGTACTTCTTTTGTGACATCCTACAACATTTATGTATGCATATGTTATCACACTAATTGTAGGAGTTCACCTTCATCCACTCCGCTATGTCATCGAAGTCATCAAAATGGAGAAAGGAGTTTTTCAGTCTTGCAATGGGGCCGTCTGCATCCAGCAGACGACACATGTGGAATTTATCGCAGTAACCCTGGTTCCCTGAGCACGGAGCCCCGCCAACCAATGGCAGCGCGTTTTTTTGGAAGTGACGGGACAGCACGGAGGAGGTGGTGCTGGCACATGTCTCAGGCTTACCTGCCATAGACACACAGGAAATAAAAAATCATTTAGCTATTTATAGTCACTGTGTACAAAATTTGAAACACAGTAAACCTCTAGTGAACCAATGCATCCAGGACCATAACTGACTCTTGCAAAATGTGATATTCAAAGCTCAACCTCAACAAAACACCTCATGTTATACATTGTACACGGATCATCATGTCTCCTGTGGTAGTTTTGAGATTGTTTAATGGAAAACAATGATGTACGAGGGTAACCTCTGTACAAATTGACACAGGCTGACGTGTTGAGACACAAAGTGTAAACACATTCCTCCGTAGTAGAGGACACATTGGACTATAGTTACCAGGCTGCTGGCAGCACATGTGGCATTTCTCCTTCATGGAGTCTCCTGGACAGTCACACTGCTCTAGGCTGTGTTTCACACACACAGACTCAGCACAGACCTGCAGAGAGAACCACAGACATTCCTTAGAAAGAAGACTTAATAGGAAATAGTGGCACTGTCTGGACTTTCTCTAATTTATGTCAATCAACAATTAATCGGTAAGATAAACCTGTTTATATCACAAACCTTCTAAAAAGATTAAATAAAATATTGTATAAATAGTTCATTATTTCCCCACATTTAGGGAACACACTCTGGACAAACTCATCTTTACTTTGTAATGTGAGTAATCTGGATCCAACATGTGTTTTTTCTTAGTTTATATTCTTCAAAAATCTGAAATAGAAAAGTGTTTTTAAGAACTGAACCAAAATTTGGCTTTGACTTTACTTGTACAGATGAGCCTGTTTTCCTGGTTTCTGTTCATTTGATTCTAAGAATGATTTCACCATTCAGTGAAGAAAACAATGTGAGTCATAAAAACAATTTATGATTAATTTGAACACTAAAACTGAAACTCCACCTTAATTTTTTGGATCCTTTTTCTTGGATTATTGCATTCCTACATCCCACTCAAAAGTGTTTTCCAGTTATTATGTTCCCTGCTCCTGGACCAGGTCTTCAGAGGTTAACAAACTTAGCACCTCTGGAGAGTAATATATCAACATATGATGAAGCAACATTCACAGCTGGAATAAATTGCTCAGAGGACCAAAAGAAGATGTTGAACAATGGAGGAAATTTGGTCAAGATGAAACTTTTATGGTATCACATGATTGTCTAGTTAGTACTGCTGTGTTGCAATGGTATGTTTGTTTTTAAAAATGAAGTGGATCGTGGGCATACTTGGACAGTGAAGCATCTGATTGAAACCAGTACACTATCAGTTTCATATTACTTGATATATAAGCAGTAAACACTCGACATGGCACTGAATCAGTTTCACTGAATAACATGAAAACAATTATCTATGAATAGCTAGAACGTATTTTTAATGACTTTACAAAATTGCTGTTTTGAAGCAAATAGAACCACAATAAACCAAGAGCATGCTTGTAGGTATTAATGCCATGGTCACTTTCAGATAGGTGTGCAGGTTTTATATAATTATATAATTATAACTCTTTACCAGACTGAACAGCAGTGTTTCATTGCCCTTCCTGGTTGAATATTTCGTGTTTCATGTCGGTGCGGACACCTGTAACCACTCCCAATAGTGATGTCAAAGTGTAGTTACACACCCTGTGGTAAAAAAACCTTTTGTGTAATCCACCAGAGGGAATGTTAAGTCTGTACTGATTTGTGTCAATATTACATTGTTGTTGTGTGACAAACAGACTGATTTGAAAGGTTTGCTCTTCACTTCCCTAAATAGTTTTTTGTGTTTTTTAAATTGTATTTATCCAAAAACGAATGGAAAGGAATGGATGCCTGAAAAAAACACTTTCAGTTTTTTAAAATCACAGTAGCATGGTCGGCAAAATGATAACTGGCAAAAAACGTGAAAGGCCCTGTCTACACCTTTTGTCCGTTCTAGGTTACTGTAGAAAAATGGCGGTTCAACATGGTGGCCTCCATGGATCTCCTGTTGAAGATCATGGGATAAGACTGAAAGCTCTAGAACAGCTACTAAATAGACCTCATGGTGAGATTGGTCAAGAATAAAAAACGTTAAGAAACGTTAGCTTGTTGGGCAATGTAGTTGGACCGTATTGTGGCGGGGTGGTGGATGTGGCAGCCTCACCCCGCTCAGGCACACACGCGTGCCCTCACTGCAGACCGTGAGGTTCTCCTTGGCTGTTGGCTTGGGGCAGAGTGGGGAGAGGCCTGAACACACACTCTCTTTCTGACAGTCTGTCTCCTCATCACAGGTCTGACTCACCGGCTTAAATCCACAGTCCTGACCACAGCAAAGACCCTGACTTGGACTGATGGAGGAAGACATCATACACACAGAGATAAATATGAAAGCCACAAAACAAAGACACACCTAGAACGTCAGTAAAATAGTTTAGATGAATGTGGTGCGCTGCTTCAATTAACAATGATGAAAGTGACAAATAGCTTTTAACCCCAAAATCAATCCAATAAAAGTCTGCAGGCAGCATCCTATCCTGTATTCTGTGTTTCTGTATACAGTACCTGCAGACTTTACCAGGCTTGAGGCGACACTGGACTCCTTCAGGTTCTCTGGCGCTGAAGCAGCAGAGGTCTGTGTCATTCTGACCGACATCGCACTCCTCATCTTCCTCCACAATCTGGTTTCCACAGATGGGCTGATCGCTGACTGGCCAAAAAGAACATAAACACACACAAGTAAACACACACAAACATCAACAAACAAGACGAGACAAATTCGAAGTATTTACAGTGACTAATCCAAAGTGTAAACATTTGGCCTTGACTCCGCACGACAACATGCAGATGTACGCTGTCTGATCTTTTCTGTCTCACCCAGAAAGCAGTTGTCCTTCTTCAGCTTCAGGATCTTGCTGATGTGTTTGATGCTGCAGGGCGAGAACTTGTCGTTGTTTTCACGCACCTCATCTGTGGCGTGAGGGAACATCAGGTACCTGCCTTCACCGCCGGTGGAGCCGAGGTTCCCGCAGTTTGAGCCCTCATCGTGCTTTATCAGAGACAAAACTTAGACTTTTAAACAATATGTTTTTCTGTGTAAGTTACGTATCTTGAGGCTGAGCACATGGAATAAGCATTTATTTGGATGTTTCCATTTAAAGCCCTCAGCTGTAGACAGAAAACAGCAGGGGGAAATAAATGATCTAACCAAGCTCAAAGCATTAGTTTTCATCCTAATCCCAGACAAGGGGATTAAGTCCCTTTATTGATGAGCTCAGTAGCTTGTAATAGGTCATTGCAGACAGTAAAAATGTTTTTCAGTGAAAGATGATGCCTGTAATATCAAATAAAAGCTCCTTCTTAATGGGCAAAAGGCAAAAGACTTTTAAAGTTATCTTTGTTGTATTTTTTAATAAAACATTTATGCAGTCAAAAGATTTTCCTTGAATTTGATGGCCCTGAAACAGCCAAGGAATGTCGTGTTCCACTTGTGGGACAGCGAGGACAGAACAGAGAGCTCCCCCCACTTTGGTCAGAAATGTATTTGTGAAATATTATCTGGAATTCGTGTTCACTGGATGTCAAACTCACTGGTGAATTAAGAGACCAAGGGGTAGACTTTAACACAGACACATGCGAGGACCATGTTTTGATGTGGGTATTTCAGCATCTGTTCTTCATTAGTTTGATGGATATAATGAGTGCTAATTTTATAGTCTTCACTATATCTGTCAATATACGAAGCTCTGGGGTTAGCAGAACTGCATGTCACAGCAGATGTTGGGGCGTTTTTTTTGAGCAACATATTATAAAGCCTACTTAGCGTTGATTTATGTTTCCACTGAAATGTCCTGGTCTCTTTCTTCAGCTATTTTGTGTTATCTCAGCTCAAAAGCCTGCAGACTTTAGACTGAAACTAGTAGCTAGTTCAACTGCGCAGCCTTCACTGCTGCAGTCACAAAAGCAACAAAAACAATAAACAGCAAAAAAGTATACTGTACAATACTGTCAATCTGCTGTCACCTGCAGAGGTTTTACAGATGGTGTTACCACAGACACAACCTAGATCCAGTTTTAAGATAAACCATCAAGAAACATTACAAATGATTGGAAGTTTTTCTGCATCAGAGGGAAAACGAGTTCAGTCAAGTCTTGAAATCTGATGTTGTGACTTGTAATGACCACACTGTTTTATTAATTTATTAATTGATGAGTGAGTCAAAACAATTATAATTAGCAACTATTTTGATAAAAAAATAATTATTCCAGTTATTTTTTAAACACACAAACATTATGTGATCCCAGCTACTCCCATGTGAGAATCTGTTGCTGTTATTCGTTATATAAGACAGTAAACTGCATATCTCGAGTTCTGGACTGTTTGTTGACATTTGAAGGTGTCAGGTTGGGATTTGGGAAGTTTGCATTTGTACTATTTTCTGAAATTTTATAACCAAAACAATGTCCCTAAAAAGTAAATGTTAGTTGTTGCTCTAAATTTGAAGTTATTTTTGCACAAAATGTGGCAAAAGAACAAAAACGAAAGAAGAAAAAACTAACTTCTATTTACTATATTTCAATTTATCTTTCACCTGAGCAGCAAATTCATGCACACGGTTCTGAAAGCCACTGTATCTATGTATGGTTGCAAGGGAAGTAGGCCAAAGGTCAAAGCAGCTCTATACTCAGAATTCACTCTGCATCACAGCCCACCCCTCTCTGTCCACCACCGTGCATCCCACAAATCTCAGGTGAAGCCCGTGCTCAGATCTTTTCATGTGCTTCTTCCAGCCTGTTCTGGCCTGGAAACAATGAGACATGCCTGTCACAGGAGCCAGGGCACCAGGCACAGGAGCAGGAGAACTTAACGGTAGTTTGATTTATAGAAAGCTTGCAGGGCCTGACATAGCAGAACTAATCTGCTCAGGAACGCCTCAGAGGAGTCTTTGGTGTGTGGAAGTGTGAATAACAGAGGGCAGGGTGAAAAGAGACTGAGGAGCGCTGCTGGCATTTTGGACAGTGGGAGAAAGGTCGCAGGTGTTAGCAGCTGTCACACATGCAGAGAAATGGCATGCATCTGTGTATACATAAGCTGTGTGTTGCTTTAGGCTGTGGATCACAGTGGTGGAAGGAGTAATCAGATCCTAAGCAGATAAGCAGCAACAAGGTTGGATTCTGTGTTGATTCTGGCGCCCCCCGTGGACAAAAGCAGTAGTGTTTGCCTTGTTTCATTGATTTCAAGGGGAATCCGACCAAATCCGATCCGTTGGCAGGCATTAAGAATAACTATATAAAAATAGTCAATCTTAATAGCTTATGTAGTCATACAGAGTCATCAGTATTACATTGAGACGGTTTCATTCCTAGTTATAAACTATTTTTAGCTATATTATAAGCAAACTATATCTAGTAGTAAGTAGTTAAAGTGCTACTGTATGTGAGATTATGATGTATGACATTATTATATTAATACTGATGCATCAATGTGTGAGCCGCACTTTACTGTTCTAGCTGCTGAAAGTGAAGCTGGTTTTAACTACTTTAAGCTAGTTTACTCCAGTGTACTTGAGTAAATGTACTTAGTTACTTAAACAGAGAATAACTGTGAGGAGAAAGAGAGAAAGAAATCAGATTATCCAGTGAGGCTGAGCCAAGAATCTCTATAAAACAAGCCAGTCAATAAAGGCCAAGGTCCCTAATGCCCACATAAGTGAATCATTCACAGACAATTTGTTCTGGTGCAGTGCAAACAGCCATGTATGCCTTCTGAGAATATGTGAGGTAAATTTAAACTTTGAATCACAGAGATTCGTCATGTCAAATTATCATTCATTACCACACAGTCTTATGTATGACTACAAAGTGTTGGGGCACCAGAAGGGGTTCAGGGTAAAACTGGTTAAGTTTAACAGACTGAAATACTACACTGAGCTGTATTTTGAACTGTGTTTTGGGAGGATTTTATTTTTTTTAAACTTGCCCTGAATAGACCTGTTACACACCAGCCATTTTGACGTGTTATGGAAGGAAATCACAAGTGTAACTAATAACATTAACAATGGCTTATGCCTGGTAAACCGGTCAGTTAAACAGTCTTTTTCACAATACCAGAACCTCAGATAACGTTGTTAACTACACCTGTGAATTTCCTGCTAAGGAAGGTTAAGGTTATGTCTGCTGTGAGAAAAGTAAATAAAACTATAGGCCTGTAGTAGCTCCTAAAACACCCACAAAAGGACCCAAGTTTGGCTTTTTTTACATTCACTATTTCATTACGAGTGATATGTCTATAAATTGCTATTAATGCACAATAATTAAAAGGAAAAATGCACCTTAAAACACATGCTACATTGCACAATTTCAGTGACTTTGGGCACGTAAGTATCTGTCTCCCTAAACTTAAAATCTGCATCAAAACTTGAATAAATGAAGTTTTTGTTGGATTGGTGTACCAAAAAAAATTAAATAATACATCCCACTTTATATGAACGTAGGGCACGAGATGTGGTCATATTCCAGTGAAATCACCACTGTTGTTATGGCGACCCGAAGTTGTTCCATTATCCGCTTTCTGAGGAGCCACTCCAGGACTCGTCTGTACATGACATCATCATTACAGTTTGACATATACACAAATAAAGGAATATGTGGATTTAGGGTGGAAAGAGTTGAATACACACTATAATAAAGTTTAAAATCTGGTATTATTGCTACTATCTTAACAATTTACATCATCAGGGGAAGGTTGTGGGATAAATTCTGTGCAATATTCTCTCTAATCTTGAATTTTGGTTTGATCGAGTCAGTTTTGAAGACCGTGTCCTGTAGTGTCAGACAGATGCTGTTAGCAAACTCTGTGATGGGGACTGACCGGAGATCCCAGGCTGTGGCCGAGTTCATGGGCGAGGGTCAGCTGGATGTGTCGAGGAGGCAGGAACTGTCCGTAGTTCTGAATTGTGACCAGACCTGTGTTGAGGGTGGAGGTCTGACCGTTACGCAGGGTGGTCTGCTGTGAACATACTCCTCCCCAGTTACCTGAATCACACACAGATGAGAGGATGAACATGGAGTTTGCTGGTTTGGTTCCCACTGCAGTCATATAGAGTATAGTTAAAAAACAATTTAAAACAAGGCGTGGTTTATGTATTTTACCACTTAGTTTACACGAGGTATTGAATTAGAAGAAAGTGGCAGGTGGCTGATAACGGCTCATGAAGGCATCGTCATTGCACATAATTCCCGCTGCAGTAACTGTGCTGATGCTTCAGAGTGAAGAGAAAGGAGTTACAGACCTCATGGAAACACCTGCTTGTCACTTTGCACTACAGTATGGTTGCATAACTGACCTTGTGCTACTGGAAATACCTTTAACCAACATTGTTTTGCTACTGAAGCTTTATCGACCTCTGAGGCCCATGGTCCGGGACGTACGGACAGACAGACCAACAGACCTGCTGAGCTGCTCTCACATCACATCAAAGCCTGTAGAGCCATTTGGTCTCCAATGGTCTACAGTGTCTTTGGGTTTACATAATGTACAACAGCTGGCCATGTTCACATGGATGGACAGCTGGCTTGTGACATCATCTTTCAGCTGGCCAGCCAGAGGACCAGTTTTATAGAAACCAGTCTGATTGGTCAAACTGAGCACCTATGATATGGTTCTTCAGAGAGACAGATCATGGATTTGAGTAGATTAAAGGTAGTTCAACAAGACCCCTTCTTAATTTTGTGACATCTCAGACACGGTCAATCCTTCCTTATTGTACAGCGGGCCAAAAATCAACTAAATACTGAACCTTGGAAGATGCTATTCACCTGTATCTACTGTAAGAAACAGCATGCACAATCATTTCTATTCACGCTCTTCCACAGCCATCACGATTTCCTCAGCATTTGTTGACCCCACTGAGACTTTCAATCAGCTACTGTGGGAGTAATATCCACATGTCCGTCCTCTCTCTTTATTGGTTCCCTCCTTTTCTGCCCATCTGTGGTTCAGGTCGGAGGTCTCAGCACTTCCCATGCAGTCATGTGAATTTTATGTAACACCTCTTACACAATGGGGTCAGCAGTACCGTTTTGAGGGGTATGGCTTGTGAAGTGCACGTCTGTTAAAGACATTCAGCGGCAGTTTCAGAGAAATCTCAGTTCACTTGGTGTCAATGAGGACTGTGGGAACCAGTCGCGGGCATCTGGACCTCCACCGGCATGTTTTTGTTACAAAGTGTGACGTTCAGGAACGGTGAGGGACAGTTGGAGGTCGAAAAGCAAAAACAAAAGTGCCCCCTATCTCTGCTGTTGTAGAAACAATGAGGAGGCTGCCAGGACCTGTAGTAACCTGAGACTATTTTATCCCTTACTATTTTATTCCTGTCACATGACAGATTTAGCCAGAAATGAGAGAGTACACTGATTTTTTTAAGCTTTAGGGGGAGAAACCTAGAGGTAAATGTGAGGACTTGTCATTAATTGTACTCCTCACTGTTAAAAAGAGAGCAGTTCCATACCAAAAAACTGTCAGGCAAGACTGCAGCAGCCATATTAATCAAGAATTCTGGATCCATTTCTTCAGCATTCCCCGCTTTTGACCTAAAATGGCCCCCCTGATGGGCAATTCAAAGAGCTGGGTTTCCTAGAAAGAGCTTACTTTGGAGGCCTGTGCTGTGGTTTTTGGCAGCACGGGCAGAGAGGGGCTACGATTTCGTCCCCTCCTCCTCTTCCTTCTCGTCTTCGTCTTACAGAAAGGAGCCGTAATGAAAGAGTCCTATTATTAGCTCGCTGGACAAACAAAGTCGGGAGAAACAAACAATCTTCTGGATCACTTTCACATAAGGCACACACACTCACCGTAAGGAGGGAAGAAGCACACACTGAGACACGCATGAGGAGAAACACACGCACAGTATTACTCACTTTAAGGAATATTTGAACGTAGAATATCAATGAACATCTTAGACAAATCAAATAAAGGTACACATAAACACACACACACATAATCACACACTCTTTCACATGGTTTAATATAGAGAAACAAACAATAGTAAAGGGGCAGTCTTTCCTTGGATAAACAAGCGGGGGCAGTCCGAGTGTGCCAATAACGCCTTTAACAACAAAAACAGACACAGCGAGCGATTCTAAAAACAAGTTCTAAAAACAAGTTCTCAGAAAACTACAGTGGCTCAACTCTGGAAGTCAACCAAAAGTAATGTAACTGCATCCGATGACTTTCCATCACTGCTCTCATTGTCTCCAGAGTTCAATGACCTCCACATTGCAAATCTGAATAGGATTTAGTCACCATATTGTGAGACCAATTTGACCTTTTTCATTGCTGAACACAAAAGACTGTCAGGAATGCATCGCAGGTCTTATTCAACCTGCGACTTGCTTTTGGTGGTTTTTGCTCTCATTGTATCAGCTGTGATAATCACAGACGGCAACTTCACAAGCAACAAGAGTGGTGAGTACATCAGGTGGATGGCTAATAATTCTCAGATTTAATTTAGATAGAGGTAATTTATTAAGAGGTGAAAATAAAAGTGACTCATAATCATTGTTGGACTGGGAAGTACCACTGCAAAATCTAATGGATGTTTACTAGCACCCATGGACAACTTGAATAATAACTTTACAGTATATCTGTCTGACTATTTTGCTTAATCTAACTGATTTTGGTATAAAGGTCTCTCATAGTCAGTGCTTCCTCAAAATTAACCTGGTGTGTCTCTGTTAAAGGGACACCTGGAGAATCAGTGTGTATTAGTGTTTTCATGTGTTGATGTTCTCCTCTGTAGTTTTTAAATACATCCCGGCATATTATTACATTCAGATAGCTCACATGCAAATGTATCCAGATTCTATTCATAAAACCAAAAGTTTGTTTTCATTGTTCCGGTTCAGTCGGAAGATCTGAACCTTGAAAAACGTGCCGACTACAACAATGTCTGCTGGCTGTCAGTGGTGACCTGCCCTTTGTGACCCAGCTCCAGACTCTCCATGACCTTAAAGGGGAACTCCACTGACATTAAACATCAAAGTCTGTCTACAGGTCTTAGGGATTACTTCTGCCTATGTGAACAGAGAGAGCTGCGCTAAGCCTGATAAACTGCCTCAAGTGAGTCAATGTTGGTTGGAAAAAATCATTAGCAGGTACTACCATAACACATCCAAATATCTCCAGTAGCTCGATCTGCTGGTCCACAGTTCTGACACACCCTCGAAAGGGTCATAGTTGGTTTGGGATAAAAAAAATTACTGTAATCAAGGGAATATGTAGATTTTGACAAGGAAGAAGAATACGTAAAATAAAAAATAATAATATCTCTGGTTCTGCTGCAGAGATTTTGATCCTTTTTTTAAAAACGTCCACGGCCATGAGTTGGACAATATGACAGGAGTGCAATGGTTAATCAGTGGAGTAAACGCCTACTCCCCTTTTTGAGGATGGTTTGCCTAAATTAAAACAAATAGACTCTATCTGCCTGTTAGACCCTTGTACTGATTTGAGACGATTTAAGATTTATTATTGGACTTCTAGACTGTTGTATTGTTAGTTGTATTTAAAGAGTAGTAATGTCTCATGGGCAGAAGGTTAATTGAAAATCAACATTTCAACAATATATATTTATGGGAACTTTTATTGTTATTTTATTCTGTACCATATTGCAGCCAACAAAGAGTGTGGAAAAGAAGGAGAAGAAGGAATTTCACTGGTGAGAAAGCTTGCATGGCACAAGACATTTAGGCCCCAACCCCCCATCCTCCACTGGTGTATGAACACATAACTTGGAGAGGTTAGAGGAGGAGCTCCAAGTGATTGATGGGGGCTGTAGCTATGGTGGCATCGGGGTCTTTGAGTTTACAGTCCCATGTTTTAAGGCCTTTTATTACCCAAGACCACTTATAAACTGGTGGAGGTGGGTTATGGAGATACTGGGGTTGAGCGTATCTGTTTCTGGAGGTCAAACATTATCCACATTTAATAGTCTGCTTATTCTTCGGGGCGGCCACATGACACTGAAAAGTCACAACAATGTCACTGAATCCACAATATGTGTGTGTGTGTGTGTCACCATGGTGATCATGTTGAGGAATGCAGTCACCAATCCTCACTAAGACGTCTGGGAGTTGTGTGTGTGTGTGTGTGTCTTATGTGTGTGTGTGTGTGTGTGTGAGTGTCAAAGGTTCATTCCTCCCTAATCACATGTCATTGTGGTGGTCTGCTCTCACGCCCCTCAGTTTAGCCAATCAACAGCTGCATATGAAACAATGTCATAGAAACAACCAGGAAGGACTTCCTACCACAACAAGCCTAACATACATGTTCGACTTCCTTCTACACAACAATAATACAACACAGTCTGTCCAGACCTGAAACACATTAGGAAGTTATAAATCTATGTATTTGGGACAATATGTCCTAAACATTTCGTTTGAGTTGACTGTGACTTTTGTTTGTACAAAGTTTTTTGAAGCAACTTCTGTACGTTATTGTGTAAGGGAATGTCAGCTATCAGTAAAAGTCAATAACATTACTGACTCACTGACTAACTTACCATTTTAATAATATGGGTTACTGAATTATAGTTCAGGTACATTATAGAAAAATGTAAAGTTCATAATGCAAATTGATGACTTTTACAAGAAAACAAACAAATGTTATTGCTTCATTCAAAGGGTGTGATTTATTTTCTTATTTGTCTTATTTTGAGTTTGATTTTGTCTGTAAATAATGAAATTAAAATGAAAGAACATGTCTATAATGTTGTCCGTTAATGAACATTTTTGAATCATTTCAGCCTAACAGCAGATGGTAAGGGAGCTTTAAAATGCAAATCACCAGGGGGGTGGGGGGTGGGGGGGTTGTTATTTGAGGAGTTCACTCACGTTTTGTTTTTGGTCTCTCAAACCACTGCTTGTATAACAGGTCTGAAATGGGAGCTGTATAATTCCTGCTCCTCTGTGTGCCACAACATCATTTGATTCAGGAAAAACCTAAAGTAACTTAACTGACGCTACTAATAAACTGGATAGCAAGTATGCATTTGCACCAGTTTTTACACCTGCTTTATGCTCAAGTTTTACTTTTCTCTGTGCACATTTGCTTCTTTTACTCAGGAACATTCTCTTTTATCTTCAGTGTCAGTGCAGTTGAATTCATGCTGATTCTACTCAATCCATCACCCCTGATTCACCTCCTTTACGGGTCAAATAATTCATAACGATCTGGAAATGTGCATAGGAGAGTTGAACGTGGCCTCTGGCGAGCTCGTGTTATCTGGAGGCCAGGGAGTCCTGGGAGCCAGAGAGGGAGCTGTGCTTTGATAGATCGACAGTGATTCATGTAGAGATTCACGCAGAGAGACAGAGCAGGAAAACATTATTTCATTTTCCAAGCCTCATACTTTTAAACATCGACAGACTCATATCTGTTTCCTGTTTCTGTTCAGCCTGCCACATGTTCTCAACACAAATTTCTCTCTACTGTCAAAGGGCTTTATATTTTTTTAAACGATACAGACACTGAGAGACATCTTGATAAAGGCATAGAGTGTCCAATATGCCAGATAGAAGCTTTAGGGTTCAGTTCAAGTGTGTAATTACCAGTGTTGTAACAAGTAACATTGCAACTAATTATTTTTTGGACTAGTAACTGTATTATTATTACTGGAATGTATTAGTAATTAGTTACACTACTAGTTACTGGGATAAGTAAGATTATTACTATAATATTATTACTGAGTTACTGCCCAACACTGGTAATTGCTTGCCTTACTTGCTGTTTCATAGCATCCTCAAAGAAAAATGAAGTCATACTTGTATCAATCCTCACTGTGCTCTGAGAAAAATATGTCTGTCACTGAGCTTCCGTATTGTTTGTGTGTTACTTGTGTAAGTGCAAGTGTCGCAGTGACTTTGACTCACCAGCTTTGCCCTCCCAGGCGAGCCCCAGCACTCCGCTGTAGTCTCTGTTAGTGAGCAGATAAGAGAGACAGAAGTTGCCCCAGTTGTTCTCGGAGTACAGACTCAACAGTTTCTCAGGTCCAATGTAAAGAGGATACAGAGGATCGTTTTTATCCTCCTCCATCATCACCTGAAGAGACACAGGCAGATCAATCGATCAAATATCTGTGAAGGCGCTCACTTAAGGACACAAGCAATTACAGTTAGCTTTGTATTTCAGTCATTTTAAGTAATGTTGGGGGCTGAGAGTGTCTCTGTTTGATTCTCACTGGTAGAAGAAGATACATAGGCATGCATTAACCCAATTATCTCAAACAAAGGGGGCCATGACCTGTTTGTGTAATAAGAGTGAAAGCCAGGATTACTGGTTGTATGGAGTCCTGCATTTGGAGTGTGTTACTCTTAGATCTGAGTCAATCGGGTTGTTGTATGAGTGCAGAAGGACCTTACTCTGAGGGATTTCACTTTGAAGTTGATCAGCTTTATTCCATCAAAGTCCACCTTGTCGTAGATGTCATTCACGGCTCGCATGTAGGAGGCAACCTGAGGAACACATTCATTTATATGAGGAAACAGTCAAATAACATCTCCTGCTTCTGATCTTTTAGAGTATAGTAGGTGCTCTGTGGTTGAGGTTGTGGTGGCCCTCAGAAGATGAAAATACATGTCACCACCAGACAAAACACAGAAGAACGTAATATCTTCTCCAACTTGACCACACATATGCAGCATAGCGAAACACACTGCTAGTACTGAAAACACAACCAGAAATGCTGCAAGTTGCACAGAATTAAATGGAACTTGTTAAACAAAACTTTTCAGGGGACACGATGAAGATGCCTGATGCAGGAGTTTATTGTCATGGTTTGTGGTTTCTGAAGTGATGATTACTTACGTTTTTTGTATTTGCAACTCGTGTCTGTATTTGTCACAATTCTCATTATGTGCAGTGAAATGCCTGGCTGGCATACTCTTGTGGACGTGCTAAAAGGTGCAATAATAAGGATAATAATAATTAGAATTGTGTTTGCTTAGCAACTTTGAGCAGCATCATTCCTGCCCAAAGCAGAATTATTTCCATTTAGTTTTGTATTTGTTTGTGTTTTCTGGTTTTGTGCATATTTTTGTCTAATTTGTGAAAATGTATTTTCTCAAGTTGTGGTGCATTGAGCTCTCAGGGCTAATGCAGAGGTTGGTTCCAGAAGATGAAATACAATTTCACAGTAGATTTAGCATTTTATCCTTTTGACAATACAACACTCTTTCTGAGCTCTACCAAGTTTGGATTATGATTGATAATGGGGTCATGTGAGGTAATCTGTAGGTTATCCACCGGGTGTGTTCAGTGTGGGTGGCAGAGCCAGTCACACATCCAGAGAGCCACGTGCAAACCAGTCACATGTGAAGGTCTGAGTCTACACAACAAGAGATGAGTGTACAGTATGGCCTGCTGGGAATTTCCATAAATGTAAATATTGACACCTTGGACTCATATAAAGTCATAAAACCAGGTCATCAGTGACTGACAACAGCATTTTGTCTATTTACACTCAAATATTACTTCACAGCATTGCTTACAGTATATTTTCTCACCCGGTGCAGCAAAGGTCTGGCACTGAACCAGGGACAACAACTGATAGTGTGTGTGTTTGAGGTGGAAAGAATCTGAGAGGACATAATGAGAGGACTGACAGCAGGAGGACGGCCAGAGAGATTAACAGTGTATCCACAAAAGGACGGGCTTACTTACTTATTAACTGACCTTGTTTTGACCACAGAGAGATTTAATTAAAAAAGCTCAGATGTGACACAGATTTCACAGCGGGAAACACACAAACAAAGGTGCAACTTGTTCCAAACTGAACCTGGATCAAATGCTGGGAACACAAATCTAAAATAACTGGATTAAATTAAACATCTGTGCTCTCGTATCAAATATGAAATGTAATAATAAATACTGTTTATTGGTTTTAATTTAGAGTAAGACGAAAGGTAAGTTAATTATGTTTGTTGTGGGTGTGTCATTCCCATATCAGGATGTGACAAACTCAATATTAGGACATCTCACATGACCTCTGACCCCAGTGACAAGCGCTTTGTTCAGACAAAGAAACTTCAACACAGACAGACATTTAAATCGCTCTTATCTTTCTTATTACTGAAGCAATGCAGGTGTGCCAGCAGGCAAGCAGCTTTCAATGCAGTATGTCCCTCAAATCTGAGTTTAGCTACAGGTCAGCGAACACTAATACCAAGATCAGATTACCACAAAATCAAAAATGCATTGTTTTTCATCAGCATTGCATCTCTAAATTAAAGTTGGAGTCCCACTTGAGCTGAAAAGGAACATTCTTCTGGAAATCAAACTAGTTTTTCCAACAGTCAGGTGCTGTTGCAGAAGTTTCGCTGCTCCAATAAAAGATCAGGAGAACAGGACAAGGGGTTAAACATTTTTTTGACATTTTAAATGTAACAAGCCACCTTAGAGTTCACAGAGTGCAATAAATGCGAGAAAGAGGTCATTACATTTTCAAATCAGGTTGTGTTATTGCAAATTTGTACTTCTACCTTCAACCAGATTATCTGTGGCACCCGTAGAGTTGTTACCGAAGGTACATACTGGAGCTGTCGGGTGTTTATTCTACCAGTGCGGACTGTTAAACCTTATTTAGCCAGATGCCTGTAATGCATGTGCCACCATGTTCGCTGAGAGCGAGAAGGTTCTCAACCTCCTCCATACTGCTGCCGTGTCTAATGCCATGACAGCTGTGTGTGTCTGTGCAGGCGTTGGCATGTGGCCCTTTATTCAGAGCTGCAAAAGCTCGGCGCTTTATTCAATATTACAGAATATCTCAGTGTTAAATAATTAACTATCCCAAAACAAATTGTTTTCCTCTCATTTGATTTTAGTCATGTAGATTTAGATGTTGGTAATTTTAGGAAAACTAGACAAAAAAGTTTCAGTCATGGTCAAAATGCTCCTTTAAATGGAGGTTAACAGAGAACCTGAAATACTTCACAGGGTAATGTTTGATAACTGACCCTTACTGAGATCGCAGACTGCTTATATTAGGTTAATTCAGTTAAAAAAGAAAGATTACTGATCTAGTGCCAAATGACACGTGAACCATTTTGAAATCTATTAAATATTGTTGGACACAAGTGAATCACCCTACAGGCAGGTTTCAGTTGTTTTATTAATATAAGATTTTAGATTTTAGATTTTAAAATGCAGGATATTGAATTCAGGGACAGGTTTGTAAACAAAACATGCTCAGCTCAATCAAAAGTCGAGGAAATTCTGTTGTGATTTAACGATCCTGTTAGATGTTCCATTACACTATAAACGCTCTGGTGTACATTGTGTTCTGGTAGGCCTGAAACATCAGGCAGCTCAGATATCAACAGTATCTTAAGTGCATCACTTTGAAGTGAGTGACACGCAGGCTTGAGACATTTTTTTGTGTCCATAAAAATAGAATCATAACTTTAAACCTTTAACCTGAATTAGCTCTATTGTTAGTTAAAACAGACATATGTATTTTGCATTTGGGTTTAAACCCAGCATTGATACTTAACTGAAGATTTAATTAAGAAAGCGTATCACATGTGAAATATCATGTCTTGTCAAACCACGATAAATTATGTTTAAAGACAGCTGATCACCTGAGCTACAACAGCTTCAACAGACTTGAACCTCTTGTAGTAGAGGTGGTCGGCATGGAGGTGAAGCAGGCAGCTGGTCTTTGACTCATCCACTGTACTCCTCAACCGGCTCGCTGGTGCCTCCTGTGGTTAAAATTACAGGGACACAAAAGAGAGAATTAAACATGGAGCGGATTTTAAAGGGGAGGCAGATTTTAATCATGACATAACCTGTTGAATCACCAGCATGTACTTGAACCTCTCGTCAGTATTAGTGAATAGCTTATCCTCCAAATATGTGTATTGGATCAAAACATGATGTCAGTTTAACTTAACTGGGCTGTTGCATGTCCCAGTAGGAAAGGTGACGTGAAGCCACAGGAACACAACTAGGCTCCACTGGGAGCATCTGTTCAGACGATTTTATGACTGAACAGTGGAAATGATCTTCGCCGACAGGCATGTTGTTAAAAATGGATCAATGTCACCGCATTCATTGTTGACAATGGACATTGGGACCACCACCCAGTTGGTCAAAGGTTAACAATAAATAGAGTACCCAAGGGAGATATCAGCTAATTAGATTTGGCAGATGTTTATTCCATTATATCTGGTTTTATAATCACTTTACAACGTAGTCAAGGTCATCTGGTGCGTTTGGACCTGCAACAGCTACTGTTAATATATAGGCCTGTAAAGAAGCAGCTTTCAGCTTCCCTAAGTCACCATACTGTGTTTTCTGACTCTTACACTTTGTTTCTGTTACTGTTAAAGAATCCAGCTGAGAGTAAATCCTGTTATTTACTATCACTGAATCAACAAGCTAAATAAAAGTGACTAAATGAATACGTCATAAATAAGGTCATTTACAACAGATGAATCAGATACACTGGTGAGTTCCCTCTTATGATTGTTCCTTGTTTTGGAGTTAAAATGGTATTGCAGAGGAGGCGGAAAAGGGTGAGTACAGAAAAAGAAAGTAAGGCAGAGTGTGTGTGTTAGTGTTTTATTCACTGAGGTGATGTCTGGACTGTCCTACCTCATTGAGTCTGAGGCTTTGGGCGAGGAGGTTTAGATGTTCTGCACCACAGAATTCACCAGGACCAGTTCTCATGGATGGTAGGACTGCACACACACACACACAAACACTCACTTTGATACACATTCTGAATAAAAGTATAGATTTGTCAAACACACAGCAAATACTGTCACAACTAATTTTGTCCTTGAACATGTTCCTTCAGTTGGTGAACTTTTAACTGCCCGTCAATGACTCATCACAATGTGGGCGCACAATGTCCCAAATAAAACAGTGTTCTCTAATCATAATAAATAATTGAACAGAGATTAAACACAAGGTTTGTTCAACCCACTTCTGCTCATTTGTTGGAGCAGACAGGATATTGTGTAAGATAACCTCACAAATAAAAACATCCTTGGTGTAGACCAGGGCTCGCAGTATGATCTTTGGAAAAGGATTTGTTTGTGCTGAAAGGATTATTGTAAATGTGTTGCATTTTATGTCTGTGTGCTTAACCAGGAGCAGTGATCGGGGAGGAATGCCGAATGATTCAAGATCTGGACAGGGACCCTGAAACATGCCACTAACTATGAATATTATCTCTTTCAGGGCCCTGAGTGTGCATGCTGGGGCCTAGAATTTCAGGAAGTGCCCATGGTAAAATGTGCAGAATACTTGGCAAAAAGAGTTATTATCAGGTCATTATCAGACAGAAGACCATGTCAAGTCAATAAAGATTGCTTGTGTTTTATTCTGGTGTTTCCTGATATCTTTCCTTATATTTCAAGGTCTCCAAGTTTGAAACAAAGTAAAGATTTTCAGTCATGTGATTTCTCTTGTTTACTCAAAGGGTGCATGAGGTCACATTTATTGTTTTATGGTGTCGATCATAGAAAAGGTTTGTTTTCTGGAGGCTGAGGTTACTATTTTTTGAATTTAAGAAAATAAAACCTCATGAAGGTTTGTGTACTGAAATGTAAACTAATGACCCCAGTAATTAGTTTGAACAATGCCAAAATAAAATTAGGACGGATGGCATTGAGGCCATCAAACAGCACACTTGAGTGTAATGAAATGTATTTTATGTGCAAAGTCATACAATGTGATGGTGTATGTATGTCAAGCTAACATGGACAGAAACACCCTCACATTCTCAGACACTTTATAAATAGAGGACACAAATTTGGAAATCAGCACTGTGGTCTGGAGTGGGAGCCATGAGGGCAGCCTGTGGAAAACGCTGTGATAGGTGCTGGTTTGATTTCACTAAAGCAACATAATCGGCTAAGATTTGCAACACCTCTGGGATGTCTGCCTCCTTTAGATTGATGCAATAATGATGGGATTGTAGTCAAGGGAGGCATTGCATTTGCATAAATTGGCCCATCTTGTTGCGCTGGCTAAGACACAGAATTCCGAAGAAATACCAGGAACCAAAAGACCTTCATTGCAACATAGTGTATTAGGTTTATGGTCAGGGATTGTGGGGGATCTGCATATGAATATGGAAGAAAGAATGTAATGTAAAGTCAACTGAAAATATGTCATAATAATGTAGAATAACCAAAACAATATGTTTCAGTGGGATTATTCACAAACACTGTGGTTTTAGACTAATTTGAATGTAGACTTCTAACTAAACTATTCCATGTACAATAATGTCGACACATTTCACCAGTCACATGACATAATAATTACGTTCACACACTGGTGACCCGTAAGAACTTCAAGGGGTAATGCAGTGTGTGTGCATGTGTGTCCCATTACAACATCCCCCTGGATCTGACATGGACCTACAATGTGAGACAGGCAGCACATGATTGGATCACACTATCCTACAAAAGTCCTCCAGCCAATCACAAACCTGTAATTCATTCTATACATGGCATGAGTGGGGGTGGAGGTGGATGTGGAGGCCTAAATGCCGGGCGTCGACACACTGACGTAATTATTTCCAGACCTTACTTTCTCATACTCTCTCTCGCTCTCTCTTTCTTAGTTTGCTTCTGTCTCTCTTCCTTTTCCATTATACTGTCGGAGATAAATGTTTCTAGCTTGTGTTTCCAAAGTTGCAAAAGATTATATATTTTTTATTCTTTTGCCAATTAAAAAGCAAAGAAAATGTCTGACTGAATCTGCTCGAAGTGATTTGAATCCCATGCACAAATCACACTCTATAACAATCATGAACTGCTGAATTATCAGCACAATACTTGGCTGGAAAAGAAAACGATTCCCCAGAAGTAAAATCAGTGTCGAATTTCAGTCAGGACTCACTCCCAGCAGCTGCTAGGGGTTAGCTCTACTGTTAAGAGTAATGTAGAAAACGTATGCCAGAGCCTCCATCTCCAGCTTTATGGTTTACGAGTGTCTTCCATGTGCCCCTCTAGTTGGCCCAGGTGCCCCTGTAGTCAGTCTAAGTACCCTTAAGTGCCCCATTAGTTAGCTCAAGTGCAAAATAACCCTAAACCTGAATATAAAACAATACAACCGTTCTCCCTCCTCGCCTATAAGAGAGTCTGTTTACACCTCCGCTCAAGAACACACGTCCATTGCTTGGATTAAACCTCTGATTTATCAGGTATTTAATGGTCTTTAAGCACAAGGCCCAATAGTTTTTACAAATAACATAATTCACACGCTTGATATCCCATATCTACCCTCATCCTCCCCATTTACTCAATGTGATAGTCCTTGCATTTCTCACAATAACACTAGTTCTGAGCAGTGCACACAACAACTGTAACAGCTGCTTCTTTAGCACTAATGCAAAAGACTGATAACCTTTAGACACTGATGCAACACAGAAAGTTCAGCCAGTGTTCCACAGAGATATGTCTCAAATCCTCTGTGCTTGTATAGTGTAATTTGGCAATGAATATCATGAAGAAATATATGTTTGATGAATAAATTACATGCTTGTAAAGCTGATGATTTGACAGATTTGTATGTGTGGATCTTAATAAAAGTTCTAGTGAAGGTTTCCAATCGGCATACTGTAAAAATATTGAAGGAAAATGCAAAGAGATCGCACACAACTTCACTTTCAGTTTAAGGCAACAATTAATAGTCCAGGAGTTTAACATTAAAGACATTTTCAGTGATGTTTAAGTGTTTGTATTACTCTTTATTTATCTCAAGGAAGTATGAGGTTAATTGTTACCCATCTTTCAAACTGAAACTGACTGAAAGTCCCATAAACAACAAGGGTGTAACTACACTGGAACTGCACACATACATTTGAAGGTGCAATAGCAACAGCAGTGCTGGAGGGTGTAAAAGCAAATGTTGTGTCACTGCCAGGTAGATTTTTTGGGCAGTGTGTTTATGTATCAACAGCCACTGAGAGGTGTAGTCGTTAATCCCAGCAACTCAATGGTTCTAGTGGACGTTTCCAGAGACGAACATGGCGTTGCATGCAGTTTCGCTTAAGCTGCCAGAGTTCTGGGAAAACCAAGCATCTACCTAGTTTGCACAAATGGAGTCACAATTCATACAACCAAGTATTACTATGTTGTCTCAGCCCTTGGGAAATTCAATGGTGGGTAGGGTGGCGAGTTTATGAATAACAAATACTTTGCCATTGTAGCATCACTTGTGTCACTCTACTGTGTCCACATTCTTAGTACATTCTTCATACTATTAATGTGTACTGTTTATTATTCAATATGTAGAATGATTCCCTTGAGTTTTCAAAAGTGTTTGATTTTCAAGGATTAAAAGCAGGTGGAGATGGTGGAGATGGTGATGTGACAAGGTGGCCGCCCTGGAACGTGCCCTGTGTCCCAGATCTAAGAGACCTCAGGACATCCCAGGAGGCAGAAAATTCCTCATACAACCTTTGTTGTCCCTAGACGACAACTACAGGAAGTGGAAATACACACAGGAGTAGACACATTATGTCAGCCCTTCCTGATTTACCACTTGTGTGCTTGTATGGAAACATTGATTGTTTATCGAAATATCATGCGCCAAATCTTTCACAGTTTCCTGCAGATATGCAGTCCGGTGAATGAAAGAACAGGATGTTGTCAGCAGCAACACTATCTAATGTAAATGTTACAATCGTGACAGGTGTTGGAGAAATGGCGGGAGGCGTAGGGAGAAGGGCAGCCACGGAGTCTGTGTAAACTTAAGGACAAACACGGTGCTTTCTTGGAAATCATCTCTTATTGATGCAGATGTAATTTGTTGGGGGAGATATCAAGGAACTTCTTTTTACGCACTGTTCATCATCATCAAACGGCCAGGAAAAGAGGTCATGGCATGTCATTTGGACAATTTGAGTCTGCAGACCCACAAGCTTCAGTTCATCCTGCACACTGGGAGCAGGTAATACAGAGCCAACAGAAGCTTGAAAATATGACCCGAGAAGACCTTTTCTTAACCGTTTTCCTAAAGTGGAAAGTGAAAAGTAATCTTACCCATGTCATCCTCATGGTAGATAATAGAGTGGTGATCTGTTTGGTTGCTGGTATATCTCTGTACAGGCTCTATATGATAAGTCCCGTTGTCTGTATGGATGGTTCCCTCAAACTGACCCTGTAACACAGAGCCGTGGCAGGCTGAACCAGGTTCACCTGCAAGAAAGGTCGAGAAATATAACATGTCAGGGTTTAGAGAGGTGAAAATAAGCAGAGATTAGAGATAACTGAGAAACAGAGACAGAGAGACAGACAACAAGACAGACTATAATAAATAGATAAGATACTGAAACTAAAAGGCAGCACAACTTCAGACATCAGAGAGATACAGGGGGTGAGATATGAGGAAAGAGAGAGAAAGCAATTCATTGGCTCTCATTGAATCTGCACATTTTAGTAAATTTTACTTTGTTCTTCAAATTTCAATAATCAGAAATGTTTTGCCACAAACAGATGTTTTTCCAAATGTTTTATCCAGACCATAAAGACGATAAATTACTTCTGATATGAGGTGATTAAAAGATTTGATTCCAGTAAATTCACTTGAATTGCACTTTAAACTGTTTCCAGCCCTAGTAGGCCATATTTCCCTGTCATACCCACCCTCTAGTATTCCTGAGTATATGTGGGAGAGGTCAGCTGACATGGAACCATTTTCACTGACCACCGTGAAATTTTCAGAAAATACTGCTGCATTGCGTTTTAGATGCAGCCGGAAGGTTCTGAAAGAAAGAAAAACAGCTCACAGATGTGGTCAAAGCTTTGTAGTGTGAAAGGTATGTAGATCCATCAGCAGCAGGCAAACGTGGACAATTAATGGTTGACATGTGTTATTGGTTTAGAAACAAGAGGTTCAAAGAGAAGAATACTGTATATTTAGCCAGACTGTGTGTGTAGCTGGCTGAGTGTGAGCTTTTGAAACAATTTCCACAGTTAAAGAAATTGTTACCTGTGGAAAGCAGTAAAGTCCAACTGCAGTGTGTATTCCTGAGGTCGGGTGGCTCTCCTGGCTCTCAGGTGCTTCCTGTGAAGATCCTCCCTATCATATGACAAGCGCTCATAATGCTTTATATATGGACTGATGCCACTCACAGCCCCTGGCAAAAAGGAAGAAATTAAAGTCACTTCACAGAGCTTCAGATATCACAGGTGAACCAGAAAAGGATTCCCACTCTCACCCTCTATGTTTATCATCTTCAGTGAACCCACTGCTGCAGCAAATCATATAATAAAATCAGCGTGTATGCAGTTGACATATTGTTATACATCTGAGATTTTCATGTCTTATTACAAGAATTATTCATCTTATCAACATACTCTACAATTTTACTCTGAACAATAAATTGAAACATGAATACTCCTCATCTCTGAGAATTATTGAGCACAACATTAGGTCAAGCTTTGGTTGTTAGGCAACTAAAAAAGTTTAGACCCGCCCACAAGCTCC